CTAAAACACAGAAATATAAAACACAAATCAACTGCAGAAAAATACGAAATATGGTAATAAAAATATTTAAATATTAAAACATCCATTGATTAAAAAAACAGACTTCCCAAGAGTATCCTAAAATGTAAAGTCTTTACTTTAAGGTTACAAATGAAGAAATGAATTACAGTTCTTTTAAAAAAAACAACATAAATTCTTGGAAGTTCATCCCTACTAATTTTGACGGGGTGGGGGGAATGTATCCTTAATATGGCAGTAAGCAGATTTAAAAAAAAAAATTAAACAAACCTATAGCAAGTCCTATTAAAATTTACATACATACTTCAGGGTATTCATTTTACCTTTTATAAAACTGATATAATCCAGCCAGCCCTGATAAAATAACCATTTCCTTGATTTTTGAGCAAATTAATTTTGTAAGAGACCCTCTGTTGATTAAAATTATCAAACCAATTTTACAAACAAAAGATTATCCAAGTATTTCCACTGATGAACAATGATTTGCTGGTAAAAGCAGGTATAGATCCAATGTTTCTTGCTTTGTAATGTTTAATTCCTTCCATCAAATATACACAGTAAGCCCCAGACTTGGTGTGAATTAAATTAAATCCTTTCTTTGGTTAATGCTATGATTTTGTTTTTTTAAAAAAAATCCAACATTTTAAGATTTTATAACATTCCCACCAAAGATGGGAGAATGTCCCTTTTTAAAATTACAGTCTCTCCACCCCTCATATTTATGCATTATATATGAATGTCTCATAGGGTTTAAATATCAGCAAACAGATGAAAATACCCTACATCTTCACAAAGGTTGCCATCATTCATCCCACTGCTTGCCTAAATCTGACTCCCAAATGTCTTTTAAGGCATAATGTAGGATTACCTTTAACTACTTCCAAAAAAACATAAATAAAATGTTGATGCTGATCCTTTGGGTCACACAAAATAGTTGAGCATTACTTTCTCAAAGTTAGACAGCGGACAGTTGAAAGGTTCCATTACCGACTTAAATTCCTAAAAATGAATTTATCTGTGACCTCAGTAGCCATAGCACTTTATAACCCAACTGTTCTTCTATTTGGTCCTCACTTACGTTGTCCTATTTTTCCTAAATATATTACTGTTGAGAAAGTATAGTATTTATCATGACACATTAGTCCAAAAACAGATTGACATGTTAGGTATCCTGCATTTTAAAAGATGTTTTAAAAACTATTTTTGTAAATGAACGATTATTTTATAATCTCAGTACTACATCTGATCAGCACGGGGGCACAGGAATTTGAGTTCTACAGAAATGTAGGTTTTTGTATATTTTGAGAGAGCACAGCATTTCCTTCTTTATCTGAGTCAAAGTTGTATTATTTATATCAGTAAAAGGAATGAAGAAAGGAGAAAACAAGTTAAACAATTCAAGAGATCCCACTGTGGACTTTCATCTTTTTTTGGTCCCAGGCAATAAAGGGCAAAGCTAAATTGTGTAACAAGATATTGGCACAAATGGGCAATTTTTGCAATGTAGAAGTCTGTCTTTTTCTATCTTTCTGTCCATATTATCATGGAAATCTAAAAGTTTAATGTACATTTTAAGTTCCTCCAACCTCCTATTGGGCTACCACGCATTTAAACAGAGGAAATAAAAGCTGGAAAGAAGGCAGCAAGACACTTGCTTTAATCTACAACAAAATTTCCCCTGCGTTTGCTAATTTTTTTGCCTAGTCAGATAACTGAGAAGTAATTATGTTTCACTTCAATAAACAAATTCCTTGTTGATTCCATTAGAATGAAATGCACTTATTAAAAATTTAACTAACCTATTAACTGGGAAGGCTCAAAAGACACTGTTGTGTCTTCACAAAAATAGAAAAATGTACAGTATTAAACAAGTACAATACCAGCACCAAGGCAATGAAGATTTTGCTAATGCATTCATACATTTTTGCACAATACTGTACTTCCACATACACATAATTCCAGTATTTTCTCAGCACCATATACTTTCTTTACAGTAGGTTGTTTTTTTTCTTCCAAATAATTAACATAACAGAAAAATCTATTGAAAAAGGAGTAAGCATACAAGAATTGCAAAGAGCTGAAGAACCTCAAGCATAAATAATGCTGAAGGTTAGCCAGTTTGAGAGGGGTGGGGTTCATCCTTGCTGCAGGCCTGGTTCAATTTAATGCCTTCCCCAGGGCTTTTCTTTTCTTTTCCTTCTCTATCCAGTTATCACTTCTCTCATATCGTCTCTGCCCAGTTCTGTTTTATGTTTCTCTTTTTTTCTTACCATTCCAGTGCAGCTAATCTTTCTCTATTCAGCCTGCCATCCTTTTTTTCCTTCCTGTGTGTTTATCTGAGTACAAGTGGTTTGTGTGTATGTGAGAGAGAATCCTTGATATGCAGATAGGGAATCAACTAGTTTTATAATACAGTCCTATTATAATAATACTCCATTACAAATACTATATGAATAATTACTGTAGTTATTAATTCAATTGATATTCATATTTTGCCCTGGTCTGTCCTTTTTTGAGTATAGTTTTTAACAGGTAGGTGTGCACACACACATATATGCATACACATTCAAGTGTGCCATATGCAAACTTTTATTGGGTGGGTAATCTCAAGGATGGGTTTCAACTGGAGTTGGCAATATATACTGAAAATATGGGGAAGCTGATCATTAAAGAGGCTTGCTTGCTGTATTTTTTTTTTTCTTCTTGCTTTTCCTTTTGGGGATCTGCTTTAAATTTAGGGTCATTTTCCTTTTGGGGTAAATAGAATATGCACACATTTACATATCATGTGAACCACATAACTGTGTCCACTATATTTATAATTGTTTTTTCAATTGATGCTAGTAGGCACAATCCTGAAAGCATGTTATGAACACTTCCACAAAACAACTGCTATGGTGGGCAGGGCTGGACACAAAACAGCATTTATCAAGTCAGATTATCTTCTTTTTTTTTAATGGACAGAATATGCTAAAAAACAAGGCACTGGATCGCAGCCATCCATCATTTCATTTTCTAAGAATGCCTCTAGTATCTACATGGAGTCCACTCACATTGCTAGGAATTCAGATTACACTTGAAGCTAATGTTTATATTATGCTGGCCTCCTAGTGTTTTATAATAAAAAGATCTTTTAAAAAATCTACTGAAGCAGAGATCCTGCCAGAAAGTAACAGTTGCACTGATACTTTTACGCTACTTTGAAATGCACACTCTACTGCATTTATGTTGTGCCGTTCTTTCAAGGCAATCTACAGATTATAACACGCACAAGGTACAAATAATAAAGAACTGGTTATGCACGGGCCTTAAGTTATGCTCTTGCCTTCCTTTGAAGAAGCTATGGCTGAGTAATGTTCCATTTAAATGAGAGTGAATTATTCTTTATTTGCCTTATTGAACAAATTGGAAAATGTGCGAATAAATTTGCAAACAAATCAGTAAGCTTGACCCAAAGCAATGGAAGACTTTCATTATCCCATCCAGCCAGCCTCTACCCATTCAGAATTCAAGTTGTTGTTTCAGGCTTCAATCTTGTGCAAACTTCTCAGGAGCTCACAGGAACGTTTCTGAATAGCTGCATAGAGAAGCACAATACAGAAGCTGCATCCAGAAGTGCAGTGAGTAAACATCTTGTTTACCTCCATGTATCCATATTCCTCATCTAGAAAGAACTCCTGTACTTTTTATGTAGCTCAGAGCTGTCCACTAAGTTTGCCCATTAGACATGTCAGATTGATGTCTGCCTGGAAATTAGTCTTCCTGAATGAAAGCAAAAGGCCACTAGAAATACACCTTAGAAATGCACAATATCTGGACTAGACATTTAGGCAGGGGAATTCGTCCTTTTCCTTCTGCCATTTTCCCATTGCAAATACTATTTGGCATGAAACAAAAAATGAAACATTTGCACATATTTATTTGGTATGAAGGACCCAAATATATATTGTCTTCTGGACTAGTTGGTAACTGGGGAAGCGTAGCTATATCTAGTAGTGCCCTCTTCTAGAGTAAACATCTCAGAAACTTCTATTCATGCAGAATCTGAACAATGGGAGAAGTCAGATCTCTTAGTAAGAAACTAACCATCCAGAGTTACTAAATATGTGTGAGCTGCAGTTTTAGTTAAAACACTGAAAACCAGCTCTGTTTAAATTAGGAAGCCTGGGCAGGGATATTTGGCCAGTAACCCCAACCCAACCTAGTACCTGCATCGCTGCAAGGACTTTTAAAAAGCACAACCTACGTTTTAAGTCACCGATCAGAGAGAAACTTTGGCATCGGAAACCCCGAGCGAATGCCAACATCAGCAGAAACGTGGGGGGGAGGGCGACACTAAAGGAGAGGGAACCGCCCAGCATTGCCGTCCTAATGAGCACGCTTAGAATTCAGAAATGCTGGGAAGCCTTTGAGCAGAAACGGGGGGGGGGGGAGAGAAAGGGGCATCGTCCGACAAATTAGCAGCACAGCAGGCTGCTTTCATTTTCCCAGCCAGATTCCGGGAAAGATTACTCTGAAAAGCCTAATCGATCACAGTCACACTTGCGACTGACTTCACGGAGGCGACAATACCCCATAGAATATCCCTTGCTTCTTTCTCTGTAAGTAAGACTGACCGCCTTCCTGCTTCCTCTTCCCGTCCTGTTAAGGGGTCAAGAATAAGCAAGCCCGCACCGTAACTGCAGTGCGAGTGTCCCCATCGGTGTGTCCTGACCCACACA